TGTTTTACGTCAAGGCCAACTCAGATTCGTTTATCTGTAAAATAGACAAATTTAAACTGGAAAATACTGGATTCTTGGCTGCAAGAATGTTATGCTCAAGAATAACACGGCTGGTTCTCAGAATCTACAGTGAAACTACATTTCAAAATATGACTTTGTTGAAGAAAAAAGTAGGTATGCCATATTATGACTCGCCTTTTCTTGAAGAGCGTTACAAAAACACATTGTTTCACTCTTGCCGAAACGCATGTAAACTTTCCTCAACGGGACTAGAACACACCTGAGATAACACCGTCTTGAAAAAAAAACAAATTGGAAGAGTGGGGAGTGTAAGAAATTTTCTTCTTGTCATAGAACGCTCTCTTCCGGACGGTAATTGTAGTGGAGAAATGTCGATATACCAGTTGAGAGAGCTTTCAAAAACGAACTTTTTTTACATGCAAACTGAAAAATCGCCATTTTTGAGTGATGTCACTTTTGCAGCAAGGAAGCGAAAGTACTTGAAAATGAATATTTCGTAATAAAATTTCGAGAAACTCATCTCTACCAACTACATACACGCTAGGTTCTGTTGAATACCTGCCCACCTTCCCGGCTAATACCACACTGGATATTGAATTATATCCGATGGATATTTATGCAAGATACCTCACAGAGGTTTGTCTTGCAGAACAGCAGAACCATGCTGAAATTATTCGAGTGGATCATCTACAGACCGGTTTAGAGGTAATACATCTTATCAGTGCAGGAAAGATCCGACTCAATATTTCAAGATTTCATTTTGAAACATTTATGTTCTAATACCTACGTATCTCTTCGCGATATAGTCTTCAGACACGGTTTGATCTCTGTTGGAGTATTGATACATGGGATGTTTCTTCCCTGCTTGTGGCCCTTTTCATGAGGTGAAGGTGTTACTAGTTAACAATCTTCCTCTTAGACGAAGGTTTCATACATGCTGTTGGGCCGCATTGAAATTTATCGAGTCCCAGGCACTTTGCTGTTTGTCGTAGTTTATGCTATATCATGATCTGAATAATTTATTGACAGATTTCCAATAGACGTGAATTCCTAGCGATTGAGAAAATCAAAATTGCGAAGTGGACATATATGGTTGCCTGCGGTTTGTTTCCGGGAGGAAAACGTCATGAATTAGAACGACATCACACTAGTTCAAGTTTGGAAACATTACTCGGTTTCGCAACAGAAATGTTCAGGAAAGTCCAGCAGGTCAACAGAAATCAGCAGCAACAATGCAAATTGAGAATTGGTGAGTATAATGGGTTTTTTTTGTGAAATGAAGTTTTACAATACTTCAATTTATTTTTTTATGCTTGAAGACAGGCAGTAAACAAATCTAAAGAAGTGAACTTCAAATATTTAAGCCAGTCTCAACCTACACAGTAGGTTGAATGGACTGACGCCTATCAGAAAACAACAACTCCACTGGCTAATACCACCAACGGCATCGGATTATATCCGTCAGGCGTTAGTGCAGAAATCTTCACAGAAAATTTCTTGCATATAATAATAAATGTCTTTATTGTTTACAACTAATAAGGTTCAACAGTCTATGATCAGTATGGATAAAAATATGGATAAGTTAGAAACAAAAGGCAAAATGATGGCTAAGGAGCCCAAAACCGGTCTGCAAATGTGCTTGTTACGAAATTGAAAGTTGACTATTTCAGTTGTATTGCCAATTGCATATGCAGACAATTTTTTGTGAAGATTCCTGAACTGACGCCTGTCGGATATAATCCAATGCCGTTCGTGGCATAAGCCAATGGAGTAGTTGCTTTCTGATAGGCGTCACTCCATTCAGCCTACTTTGTAGGTATATCCGAGACTGGCTTGAACATTTGAAGTTAATTTTTTTAGATTTACTTCAATTTATGGCTGGGCCAGGTTGAGAAAATAATGAAATACTGGGAATCATATATTTTGTGTATGATGTAATTGGCGGATAATTGATGAAAATTCATAATGAGTTCAAGTAACATTTTCCTGTGAGATTTTCACTGACCGCTTTACAAAACTGCAATACCTATTCCACAACACGATAGCTTCCTCAGGCGTTGACATATCAATTGAAATGGTATCTAATGAGAACTTTATACAGGGTGGGAGAGCGAAAACGAAACAAATCAAATATCTTCAAAACACATATTTTCTGAAAAAAATGCAAAAACACGTCGATTCGTAATCGGAGGGGGACATCTTCCTATCATAACCTAAACTGTCCCCCACCCCTCGGTCACTATCTCCCAAAAAATTTGAATTGGAAAAGTGATAAATCATTAAAAAGGTGAATTCATGAGGAATTCGGCTTTGTCAATTTTCGCTGTCGGACTTTCTATTTTGGCGCCCTCTTGCGGAAAGAAATTGTTCCGTATTCCAAATTATGATACTTCAATCCAGCGATCCCCATCTACTGTTGACAACTCTAGAACCAATATGCTGGAATGTGTTTTCCAGTACTACAATAAAATATAATGATAATGATGATAGACGTTCCAGACACAAGGTGCAGGGCCTACCGCGAGGCGCCTGAGATCCTAATGCACTTGCTCGCTCATGTCCAGCACATGCGGTCCCAGCCTATATCCAATACAATGCGGCCCTAAGAGTGATTTATAACCATCTACAGCACTTTTACGGTATTGACGAGCCACCGGTGTTTTCCAACGCTCCGGGGGACATTGAATCTGTTGTGGGAAACGAAAAATTCCAAATGTATTCAAACTATTCGTTCCCCACCCCGATGTGGATTAAATATCGAGTATTTCTCTTCAAACTCCGTAAACAGTATCCAGATCATGTCAAGATGGTTTTTTGATTATTGGAGTCCTTAGTGGAATGATGTCCTCTCCACTCTCGAATCTTGAAATCATACCGGCTTGCCGCACTAAGGCAGAAATAAGAGTCGAACAAATGCAGAAGGCCGTCATTCTTGGCTCAGTACGCTTGCTCAGAACACCTGATTCTTGGACCCAAAGATTACTTACCCCACGGTGTGGGGAGTGGTAGTTGGTTGATTATGCTGGGTCGCCCTCTCGAATGTAACGGGTGTTCGTGGGATAGTACCAGACCAGCGCAAACTTAGGAAAAAAATGAAAATAATAATGATAATTTTCCAAGAAACATACATTGTTCATACTAGGAAAAAACAATATAGAAAAAAACAGAAGATAATTCAACTGATTCTCCCAAGTTGAAATGTATGGAATATATCAAATATTGGAAATAATATAAAGGTTCATAGAAGTAGATATTTTTCCACATTTTTTCATTCTGCTGATATTTTTCAAAAAATATCAGCAGAATGAAAAAATATTTTGAATATTGAATCATTTATTCAATATTCAAAATCCTATTTTTGAGTGATTATATTAATCACTGATTATTTCGAAAATCAAATCTGAGTGTTTAATTTTTGTTTGTCAAAAGAATAAATGTGCCAAATTCAAATTTGTATAATATTGATATGTCTGATATGATTAGTATGATCTGATATGATTGATATGTTTGTGCACGGCTAAATTGAGGCTGGGCCTATGGCAAGAAGCGCTTACTGCACAACCTCTGCTGCAGGCAACAAGTGATGCAATTGAACCCAGGTTTGTGTTTAATAAACCCTACAAAATACAAATTAAGCAGAACACAGTGTCAGATGCTACAAATGCAATACAGATTTATACAGACAGCTAAAAAACCGAAGAAGGCTCAGGTTGTGGAGTGTACTCCAGATCACTGAGCCTAAGAATTAAGTGGGGAATGGGAAGAAATACCAGCGTGGTCCAAACAGATTGGTTTCTGATAGTCTGATTTGAAGATACATTCCATTTGGATTCCAGGACATCGACTGTGGCAGCAGGAGGTTGCATATCTCAATAAGGATCTAGAAGTGATTTCGAATTGGGGTGGAAGTAACCAGGTTCAATTCAATGTTCGGAACACTGTTTCAAATCAGAAAACTGTACACACATTAGCAACGTTTGATGCTTTATGAAGCTCAGATCAGACTTTCTTCGGAATATTGTTTTCATGTATGGACCTCCGCCCCCAAACATACCATGAAGCGGCTGGATTCCACCCAGAAAATATCCACTCCCCTGATTGAATATACGAACATCACTAGTAATCTTGATAGTCTAAAACATCCAAGAAACGTTGGAGATACCTCCACGGAAAGTGTTCAAGTGACTTGGCACATTTGATTCCACCGAGAGCGACGAACTGTGGCTGCTCATGGTTTTGAGGTTCAGCTCAGTACACCTCGAACTTTATTGTTTAAGATCTCTTTCATCTGGAGAACTGCGTTCATGTGAAATAATTTTCCTGAGAAGTTTTTCGAAATGGATTTAATCTCCAACGATTCAAATTCAATGTGAATCGCTACTTTCGCACAGGCACAGGCATCAAACTTCAACATCCGAATCTGTTTCACAATGAAATGGAAGAACTCAATGAACTTTACCAAAATAAAGACAAATTTCAGGTGATGCATCTACCAGAACTTTGGCATTTAAGAGAAAGTGAAGTAGAGAGTTCAAATTTAGAGAAAGGGGTTTCAAATTAGTAACTGTGCAATTTACGTGGCAGTTTCAAAAATTTTTTGAAGATTTTTTTGAAGATTATCAAAGAAATGTCTTATTTTACAGGTTCAGAGTAGCACATGTCAAAATGGAAGAGGCTGTTATTAACCTATTTTTCAAACTCATTGCGGGATCAAATTTTGAATGCATTCAATAAAAAAAAATTTCAAATGTTACGGATTTTATATGTTACACTGCATATCATACAGGCGTCACCTAAAATATCTTTCCCAAGTTTCTTTGGAACATTATTATGAAACTGTCACGATCGAGGTTGTTTTCTAGTTTAGAAATATAAAAGTGTGCTATTGAACTGGACGTTTATTTTCAGGCCTGACTATTCTGTGTAATAAATGATAATGTATCAAATGAATCCACCCATTTTGTATGGTTCTCTAGAAATACTGAAATAGAAGATCAGGAGAAAAAATTAACAAAAAAATATTTTCATCTCTTCCGTTTCAGGACAGTGAAACATTCAACCCTTCAGTTGAACCACAACTGGCTCACATCATGAGTGTTATATTTTCGACAGTATTACTTCATTTGCTTGATAGGCAAACAGATTACATGAACAGACTAGCCTACCTCCTGAATGAAAAAGTGAAATGTGAACAGGAAGAAGCACGTGAACTTGAATATGTGAACGAGAGTCTGCTCCTCAACATACTTCCGAAGCACGTAGGTATGTTTTTATCTATACAAGTCACAACATAAGGTGAGTTTTAAAAAAATCTGTTTTAAAATCTGTTTTTCCGTTAATCAGCTGTCGCCCCCATACGAACGACAACTCTCAGAAGTTGAGAAACTTGTGCGAGCTAAGAACTAACAAGTTCTTACCTTTTAACATGTGATTCCTAACACGGCTGCAGAATCATCCCAGCTTCAACCAGTTAAATTCTTTCGAGAAAAATATCTGGTCGAGGCAGGAATCGAACCCACTGTCTTCCAATCGTGAGTCGGGCGTCGGGCGCACTACCACCACCGCCAATTCCACAACCAGTTTGAGAACCATAATCCACTAAAGACAAATTAGTCTCTTGAATGGAAATATTCTCGTGTGAAATTGTTATTTGAGTACTTGAGCAGTGGAGTTGCTGTTCTTCGGGTGTACAAAAAGTAGTGGAAAATGTAGTATAACAAATTCCAGAAGATTCCATAGTATGTATACGATGGGTAACAAAACGGAATACTTTCATCGAAAAATACCTTTTTCATTGAATTATATTGGATTGAATATCAATAAAATTTCCAATTCTCTTTATGGAAAGGACTTTCCAATATATCACACACCTGCATAACTTACCTGACCAGGCATAGTTAGGATTACTGGTAGAAAAGAGGATGTCTTTGCATTTCAATCAGTGTTGTTAATGATAAATTATACTTGAGGTGAGGGTATCTGGTAAATGAAATTTGATCTGATCAGATCTGAAGCAGGTTCTGATGTTGTACTTGGACCCACACAACCAGTGCTTGTACTTTCCTACATCATGGGTTCATCGGAAAGAATAAGAAGAATTGGATCCAAAACATCAGAACAAGCTTCATATCCGGAAACACTATCCGTAGCAGCCTCTCGAAAACCAGGCCACCAAACGCGGACTGCGATTCCAATGATTTCATTTACCGGATACCCTGTCGGTGCCGAAAATCCTATATCAGTGAAACTAAGAGGCCGTTGAATGTTCGCATTACCGAGCACAAGAAACACACACAGCGAGGGAAACCAGCAAATCAGGAATAGCAGAGCATGTTTGGACCCATCAACATAACATCGAGTGGTCTCGAGCTGAGATCATACACTGAGAGGAACATTGGCTTAGGAGGAAATTCGAAGAAGCCGCATACATGTTGTCCAACAATGTATTCAGCCAAGCTAGTGTAGAGATACGCAATATACGCAATTGAGGGGAAACCCAAAATCAAGCGAAAAATGACCAACTCCCGCCAAACGGTCATCTTCTACTAAACCGGCGAAGCGGAGAAATGGAAAGCGGAGATAAGTGAAAGTACTTGAAGTCATCACCCGAAGATGATTGTGGATACTAACAATCGAAACGTCGTGAAGTAACTTGGCTTGGAATCTCTTAACTTTTATTTTCAATTTTCGTTCAGTTATTCTATTCTTACTTATAGTGTATCTCACTGTTATTTTATTTCAGGTATTGTTTTGCTAGATGTAATTGTTATGTTCAGCTATTCTTTTTCAATTTTTCTTTCTTCATTAGTTTTTCCATATCACTTCAGCTGTTCTTTTCAACACACTTTCATAAGCTTCTCTTGTATGTTTGTTTGTAATCGACTCCTTTGGACTCGATCCTGTCTAACTTTAAACGAACTATATGTATTTTTAACTTTTTACAGTTGTCAGGAATCGGTGACAATACTATACTCTCATGTTTATCCCTTTATTCTGATCTGGATCGCCAGGATTGAATAATTTCCTCACATATACTGTCTGTGTGATAGCAAGTAAAACAGCCAAAGTGTCTGCGCATGCGTATATATTTTAGATTGAAACAAATGTACTTGCAATAGCAAGCCAAATTGAAAAGTTGATAATATATAATAGTTTGAAAAACTAAAAAACATGCTTCAGTAGCAACACAGAATAAAAAAATAAAAATGATTTTAAACTAATTTAAGATTGTGTTCAACATCGTTTCCTATGGCTTGATGTAACTGGTGACTTTTAATAAGTCTGAAATCAGAATGAATCTATTCACAAAAAAATAATTTTTGTTGTAAAAAAGCGTGGAGTGCGAAATATACATTGTTATAATACTTGGTTAGGAGCTGTTTGCCAGATTGGAGATTTGATAAAAATTAAATTTAAAGCATCCCACACCTTTTCACAACAAAATAATGGAAGTC